CATCAGGTATCAAATTAAAAGCGATTTCAGCTGAAAAAGTGATCAATTACTTTCACCTATAACTCTTGCACAAAATAATCAATGATGTTTGTATTTCGTAATCGGATAGACCATGAATTGATAAACATTTTTTGTCGTGTACGTGAACTCGCTTGACCTTTACTTCCGGGTCTACCGGAAGGACAAAGTTAGGTGAATTTAAAATGAAGACTTTAGCCTGAAATCAAAACAAAGCAGAATTTCTTCCAAACGGTTTTTCGGTATGACCCAGAAACCTTATGTGAACTTGTACCATGCTACGAAGATGTTATAAATTTTGTTACGTCATCATGACGTCATCAGGTATCAAATTACAAGCGATTTCAGGGCAAATTTTGACAAAATAGTTTGCGTTATATCTTTTGAACTAAATAGAGTATCGTGTTCGTTTTTTCGTGAGGTTGTAGACTATGCCGTGAGAAACATTTCTTGACCTTCACTTCCGGTATTACCGGAAGTGCAATAAAAACCGAATGTTATTCAAAAGCGGAAGCATTTTACTACACATATATAAATTATGATAGTGTTTAGTGAGGAATGCCAGACAAAAACAAAGTGTGATGACGTCATCTTTCGAAAGGGCGCCCCCTAGCGGCACATAACACAGTGTTTGCTCCTTTTAATTTGAAAACCATCCGTTCAAATTTTACCAAATCGCTCCTTGATATTCTTTGATTAACCAAAAATAACTTGGCAAGGTTTCAAATTCAAGACGTCATCAGACCGGAAGTTACTTCTGTGACAATTTGAAAACGACCATATTCTAAAATTCGATTCATGTCGTATATCTTCGTAGCCCAAGTTACGATATTCATTACAATGTTCACTTTTTGCTGCCAAATACTGTGACGTCATCAAACCGGAAGTTAGTGGTTACGAATAAATACACGTATATTTTCCATACTTTCATACGTCATTAATAAATACCTTCGAGAGTTGATGGTTTCTGATTGGTCGAGACTCGATCACGTGGCCGGGCATTAACGGTGATAATGGACCGGCTTCAAAGATCGAGCGAATAAATGGCCCCTGAACCAGCATTGATCCAGCCCCGTTCAGCCCCATGCAAGCCAATGATTGGTCAAAATATAGTAACAGTCCTGCGGTAGCTTTTAACAATTGAGCACTGCAAATGCGCTCAACCCCCATCGCGTGAGACTGACGCGCGCGTACGCAACACAGTTGCTAGGGATGCGTGCGTGCGCGCGCGTAAGGAAGTTTTGAAACGACATCGTACGGCAGTGCAGTATATACTGAGGATGTTTACGACGAAAGCGTAGGTCTACGATTTATTTTCTTTGAACACTTCACCCACCGACATATTTACCTTTCCTAAACCAAACATCTTTGTAATTCCGGACACAAGGAATGTGTAAACGAGATTTCAGCTTCCTCCATCAGGTAAAGATATGAAAACATTGTTGTAATTTGTTTCGCTACGGCAGCAGTTTCTGTTGAGTTTACGTCGTTATAGCTGTTAAGCTAAAATATGGCCCATGAACATGAACACAAAAAAGTCTGGAAATATCGCCGAAAGAAAGTCACAAAATTGGAGCATTTGAACTGTTTATTTGGTTAAAAGGGTATTTATTAATGGTAATAACAGTGTGAGGATCCGGTCTTCACTGCGTGATAATGACCGGGTGTGGGGGTGACCGTAGCCCAGGTTGGACGAAGTCTTCATTGCAATACGACTAACGTCCAGGGCAAGAATTCTCTACATGAAACCACCCAACATTTTTACCAGAGTTTTGTTATGTTTTACCTCGTTACAGAAGCTTATTTCACGCCTACATGTTCTATGTATCCTTACCTATTGGGCTGCTGGGATCAGGTATTCCATATGTGATGCTGACTGACATTAATCAGGAAAATAAACTCTAAAGCAGCGTTAAACTTGTACGTGTTTGTAGTCTCTTTTCATCAGTTTATTCCCAGAGTCGTACGTCATGTACAAACTACAATGTACGTGCGTACGAAAGCGCGCACGCACGCTAGGCGCCCTCATTTGTTTAGTTTTGGTTGGAACCGTGACGTCACTCCAGCCAACCGATGTCACGAAAACGCTCAACCAATGACCAAAGCCGAAACGTGTTTCTGGTAACTGGCGCGAAAACACGCTCGGTAATTGGATTAGCGACCGCGCCTTCAAGTAAGTGCGCGTGCGTATGAGAGTGGTTACTAAGCAAATCGCGCGTGCGCACTGCATATTCATGCTGCATAGTCTGGCCCCCGGACCAGACGTGATGAGCGTCGAGAATAATTGTCCGGTCTAGGGAACCAGACTACACGCTGCACAGACGTACGTCATGTACATGTACGCCGACTAGAATAGACTCGGCGGTGAGAAACTGATGAAAAGAGTCTACAAACACGTACAAGTTTAACGTTGCTTTAGAGTTTATTTTCCTGATTGACGTCAGTCAGCATCGCATATGGAATTCCTGAACCCATCAGCCCAACAGATAAGGACACATAGAATACTACGACGTAAAAAATAGCTTCTCCAACAAGGTAAAAATATTGAAATTATTGGTCAGAAATGTTTTCGTTCGGTTTTGAGCACTTTTTACCCTGGACTCCCTCCGTTACGTAGGGAGGAAGGGAGTCCACCTGGGCTAGGGGTGACCGCTGTGGTCACCCCCACACCCGGTCATTATCACGCAGTGAAGACCGGCTCCTCACACTGTTATTCCCTTAGTCACAAATTATACCAGTAGTTAGGTAGTCTTGCTTCCAAACCAACGTTTCTGACTATTCTGACAAAATCTTACGTCAGGTAGTCGCCACGGCATGATGGCCCTTTTTCAAAGCACGGCCTCGTTTCCGGCGTGGCTTTATCATTAAGAGGCTAAGACCCTTTAATGTTCCGAACAAATAAAAACAACGCTTGCTTCATATCATACAGTTCGATATTTCTGTAAGAAAACAACATTGACTGTTATTGAGCAGGAATCTCCAAAGTTAGGCAAAGCTGAAATGGAGACGAAGCCGAGGTTGTGGTTACGTGACCTAAGATTTGTCAGAAATAAAATAGTCAGAAAATTGTGGTCTGGGAACCAGCCTGGTAGTTAGGGATCAATCAACATGTGAGTTGGGGAGCCGGCCAGCCAGCCAGCCAGCCAACGATTAAGGATTTTAATATACAGAATATTCGTGTAAAGATATCAAAACATAACCAAAGGGATCACTAAATCATTAACTTGGGAGCAAGACGTCTAGACGTCAATGAGTCATCTGCGCCTTCTGTGGGGTTGGACACAGTGTTTTATCTGTGAGTCAGTTTTTCTAAACTACTTTTTTGAAAGAAGACATTTCACAATACGCTATATCAATGTTACTACATTGAACGATCCCTACTTATTTCTGTATCATCTAAATTTCTGGAGGTTTCAGCACGAGTTTCCACAGTAGAATTAACAACATCCACTCATCTACCGTATCATGGGTGACATTTTAAAGCACGACGGTCAGTTTGCTTGAGAACGTTTCTGAAAATGCGGAAGTATCAACACTTGTTGGCGCTATTGCAGAAAATAACGCCTACGTACGTCGTCCTAAAATTTGGAAGGTTTTATTTTATTGTTCAACGAACTTAGCGCCAAACTAGGGTACATGACGTAGCCCATGTATTTTCCCGGGAAATTTATGATCGTACCCAGGCAATATATCAAAGGGTGCTGATGACGGCTTATGTAATCGCTTTCGCCAAATTTGGGGTATTTTGGGTATACAGTTCACCGCCGGTATCAATGTGCGTAATTTCCGTGCGCAGACTTCATGCTTCATGACTTCATGCATGTAATAGAAAAACGAAAGCATGCGAGTCAAATTTGGCTTTTGAAGTAGGAAGTTTAAAGTGCTGCGCTTGGGATTATTAACATTTCATGTGATTTCTGGCAATTTATAGAGATAAAGCTGTTGATGTGGGTATTGGACGAATTTCGTCTTTTACCTTGTAACCAGTATTGCTTGTGGGGGCCCACATCAAGTGGGCCTAATCATATTTGTGAACAAATTTTCGCTAGATTTGTTGTTATCCCTTGATTGACCGCGTTTGAATATCGTCCAAAAACTGCTCTCAAAATATAATGAGTACGTAACTACGATCTCAGAAAATTAGTCACCTTTTTTGAGGTCTGGTACCATGTATCGCGAGCGATAAAAAAAACAATACTATTTAGTCGGCTTTTAAATTGCTCATTTTTATCAAAACAACAAAATCTAGCGAAAAGAAATCTATTGTATGTAAAATATCGCCTCGTGGGGTGTTATGTTAAGTATTTTATTGCCCTGTGCAAACTTCAAATGTCTAGAAATCTTAAGCGAAAAAGTGACGCGTGAACGATTGAAACTCATTTTTTTTGGAACCTTAGATACCACCTCACAATGGAAAAATCACCACATTTACAAGTGTAAAGCCTGGTAAGCGAACCCAAAATCTGTCATAGAAAAAAGTTGACGATATTGCAACATTTAGCGTCCGACAAAAGCACGTTTTGCACCAAGTCAAGAGAGACGGCCTGAATGTCAGCACAATGCTTCTTTTGAAATGACATGCGAGATTGAATAGGTCATTGTCAGTGGTAAATGTTGCAGATGATTCGTGACAATGTAACAGGTGATATGGATTTGAAAAAAGGCATTAGTTTAATTTTACGGATCACTTGTAAACAGCCTGAAATTTAAAATACATATTTTGTTTAATACACTTATTCATTCCTAACCCTACAGCTGTTAAGAAATACATGTAATGGCATACATATCAGTAATTTCACGGAGCTTAAGCTTTTATATAGTTCAAAAGTGTAGTTCCGGTGAAATGATATTTGGTTCTTTGCATTTTTTTCTTCAAAATGTCATAGCGTATTCTTTTTATCAATTCAGTTTTTGCTCCATATTTATGCGAATCCCTGAAATGTATAAAAAGGGACCCTTTCAATTCATTTTGTAGAGCAGCCACCTAGGCCTATAGTTTGCGAGTCACCTGATCTTACACAGCCATACACAACGCATCATGAAAGCAATGATTTTCATCGCATTTTCGGCAGTTTTCCTTGTAGGACTGGGTAAGTCAAAGTTAACGTTCAGTGATCTGAGTGTGTGCGTACGTGTTCAGTTAAAACAAAACAAAACGACAAAAACAAATTTATTTTGAAAATTTGAAACAACGATTGTGCAGATTGTTAAAAAAAAAATTTGAAAAATAATTTTAGGGCTTTGTCACGCTTGTCCACAGTACTATCACCACCTCACCCGACGGATACGGGCCGACGGGGCGATCCACTCCATTACATTTTCTCAGATATAACCGCTTGGTTTTGGTTTTGTTTTTTGCTGGACCCGAATTGGTAAGCCTTTTGTCTTCAGGTGACTGCATCAATTACTAAGTGGTTGAGGATATTATGATCAGATCTAAAACTTTCAGGTCAAGCTAGACTAGGCAAGTCGTGTCTTGTTTTTGTGGCTAGTTAATTAGTTTTTTCCGTAATCCGGTTCATGTTTCGATGCAGGCAGCCATAAAATGTCAGTTTCTGTATTGACTGTGAACAGCAAAGGCTCATTAACAAAGCAAAGCGTTGATATGTATAATGCAATAATATGACGGTTGCACAAAGCAGTAACGTAGTAAGTAACAAAGCAGTAACAAAGGCGCACCACCAAGTGACTTCGTGGCCCGTACAGCAATACTGTGGTATTCGTCACTGTTAGAGCAAATTATTGTAGAGGGAGCATTAGTTTTTCTATTGAACCGTGTGCACTTTCCCCTTCGATTTGACTAAGCACACTGCAGGCGAAGGTATAGGCCTGAGTTAAACACCTCCCACGTGTACTTTCAACAAAATGTGAAGTCCAGGAATTCTCACCTTTTTTTTACAATTCATATTTACTTTCTCGTCTCGGACATATTACTGAGCGCTCTTTTCGATTTTTTCTCTTCTATCGCTTTTCATGTGTTCCAACCTCGTGCCCGTTCAAAGACATTTTAATTATGCTATTTAGATGCGATTTCTCGATGAATCCCTAAAATGCACCCAAGTAAGAAAATACAGCTTTCCCCGTGCAGTTAAGTTTCACAACCTGTTCATTCAATTAGACAAATAATAGTGTGCATTTTATTTAAAGAGGTTGCAGTACATGTACTGATATGGTTTCTTATTGACAGTTTATAAGCCCCAGCGCATTTGATTGCGTTTCAACGGTCTCAAATAAGCGTATATACAGACAAACAGTTTTGGAAATCAACATTTGTTTGTTGGCTTTCGATTCGTACCAAGTAAACAAGTTTGACGAAGGGAGTATTTAGGACAATGAGCATCGCCAGAATTTTGTTCTCGATGGGGGCATGGCAAAGCACACATCAGAAGCGAAGGCAGAAATTACCGGCCGTGGACAAATCAAGAAAGGGGTGCTATATAGACATCACTCCACGCTTTGTTAAAAACCGTCCATGTTGTCGTACATTAAATTAACAGAATATGATTCGTCCTTCGCCTTTTTTCCAATTTTCTTCTTCCCTTCCCCTCCCTCCCTTTTCTCCTTTTTTTTTGTTTTTTGCTTTTCCTGGGGAAGGCAAGTGCCCCCCTTGCCCCCTCCCCCTCGCTACGCCAATGTTCAGGACAACTTAATGTGTCATTAAATGCGTTTCTATCAACGTCAATCCCTATATGGCGATAAGAGAATCAATTGAATTCAGGAAATGTATATGTCTTTCCATTTTAAACGAAGAGATAACGACAATTAATAAACCAGTCACTTTGATCTGTATATGAATCAGTCTTTTGCATACAGGGTTTTGTCGACAACTATCAAGCATTTCTTTCTTGCTATTACGCTGACGCTTTTCTCTCTATTTTTTCTGTGTGGTTCGTCTATGCATTGTTCATATTTCCTATGACCCCTACTGACCATAAGGTATTAAACTTTTGACCCAATTTTGTGTCCACCATATATTTATGAAAATTCCCATGATGCAACTGACCAAGTTTGGCTTTTAATAGTCGGATGAAGAATTAGGGAAACGAATTTGTACTTTTCAATAGAAACGATCAATTTTGACCACAAATTGACCTTTGATCATCCGATACAATAAATCACCGGACGCGGTGGTTATAACAGTTATTCCGAGATGCTATGTGAGCTCGGGATTCCCTCCTTGGAACAAAGAAGAGAATCTCTATGTACATCATTCATCGAAAGAACATTGAAAAAAAACTGAACAATTTAAGGATTTTATCCCTTCTCCTCCAAAAATGAAACGTACACTAAGAAATTCGAATAAAGTCCCACAACTTAAGTGTAAAACCAGAGGTTCGCGTTTGTTGTTACAAACGCAGAGTGGTCGGGCAGGCAATTTGTTCATTAAACACTGCCGAATTGAGTATGAATATGTTTATGTAAGAACAAAGGATCACGAAGTAAATCCTTTCCAGTACAATCAATTATTTTTTTTCAAAAAATGCATATTTAACGGTGTGATAAATTTTAGTAAACATTTTCTGTACTCATACAAGTTATTTCCGGCTTGATGACGTCATAATTCAAAAACGGGAAGTGGATACCGATTTAGTTCGCAGTGGATAAATGTTCGTTGTGAAGTTAAATAACGTATGAAAATATGGAAAATATAACTGTATGAATTCATAACAACTAACTTCCGGTTTGATGACGTCACAGTATTTGGAAGCAAAACGTGAACATTGTAAGGGATATCGTTATATGGGCTACGAAGATATACGACATGGATCAAATGATAGAATTAAATTTAAAATATGATCGTTTTCAAATTCTCACAGAAGTAACTTACGGTCTGATGACGTCATGAATTTGAAATCTTGCCAAGTTATCTGTGGTTAATCAACAAATATCAAGGGGCGATTTGGTAAAATTTGAACGGATGGTTTTCAAAATAAAGAAAACAAACACTATTTTATGTGCCACTAGGGGGCGCCCTTTTGGATGATGACGTCATCACACTGTTTTTGTGTCTAGCATTTCTCACTAAACACTTGCAAAATATATTTGTTTGTAGTAAAATGCTTCCACATTTGAGTTATATTTGGTTTTTATTGCACTTCCGGTAACACTGGAAGTAAAGGTCAAGCGGGTTTGTGTCCGGGGACAAGAACTGTTAGTTACGGCATAGTCTACAACCTCACGAAAAAAACGAACACGATACTGAAATTTTAATACATCTTTGCTGAAAATGCGTAAAAGGAATTGTCTTCCTGCTTTGTATTCTTGAATAATAATTTGCATTGATCAATTATTGGTTTCAACAGCCAGACAGTCAACCAAGTTATGAAAAGCAATGAAAAAGTGGACAGTGATCGCTGTTTACTCTTAAACTACATGAAGTGTGTTCCTGACTCGGCAGATATATAGGCCTACATAAAACACGGAAGACATGGTCTAGTTTTTGAAGCGCATGTCTGGAGCTGCACATAAAAAAATATGGCAGCTCAAAAATAGAAACCGTATAGGTAGACTTCAGTATGGAGTTTGGAGTTTTATGCAACATACGCTTAACATCTAAAAATAAATGGATTTTTAATGTTTTTCTTTGTCTTTGCATGGGCTAATAAAATTCTGCTCCGAGCTAACGAAAGAATGGCACGAAAGAGTAATTGTCTGCATTTAAGGTATGAGAGGAAAACTAGCGAGGGACGATTCCCAAAAAGAAAAAAAAATGAACTAGAATGAAAATTTGTAATATTTTGCTTGATCAACAAATGTTGTTGATATCACAAATTGTTGTACAATCCTCGCTACGATTCGATTTTCAGGAAAACAAATTGTAAACTTTCCATTTACGTCGTTAACGGAATGTTAGGAGTTCAGCAAGCGTTTACCAGTTAATGTTTTTTTATTGTTCCTAGACAGCTCAGTTAAGACACAAGGTCAAGTTTGAGAACACTATGGAAGCTTGTCGTGTAGTTGATCTGTCCGCGATAAGCACACGGGGGGAGGGGGATTGACAACTCCTTTGCGGAGCCATACACCACTGATCGTGGTATCGTGCGAGCAAAAACCGTCATGTCTGAATTTCTTCATAGTTCAATTTGTGAATGGCATGCCGTTTTGGGGGCTGTTTTCTTTGGGGGTTTTTGTCCAAAAGATGCAATGTCGGCCGAAGGCTGAACAAAAGAACATTTATTTAGGGCAAATAGAACTGCATTATAGTAATAAAAACACGCTGCAAAATAACACATAACCGGTGGTTAGTTTGATATCTGTTGAATGCTGTGGCCGTCCTCGTGTCTTGGAGTATTGAATTCGTGGTCTGCGGGTAATTCGGCAGGTTGTGGGTTCGAGTCCCGCCTGGGGTTATGGTGCGTGTGCCCTTGGGCAAGGCACTTTGTCACTCATTGCTTCTGTCCACCGAGGAGTAAATGGCTACCTGTCGGAGCAGGGGTGGTTATTGTGTTTGAATTAGCTTCCTTGCGCCTAACAGGCCCAATGATCAGGGGTAATAATAATGTAAGCGCTGTGATTTAGTTTACTAAACGGTGATCGGGTTGTGCTTGATCACCCAATTACACCATGAACAAAAAATATATCTTACAGAAACAAAGGGTGATCGAGAGCGGCCCGATCACTCAACAGCAACAAAAATTGAAATCTGAGGAATGAGTTGTTGAGCACATATCACAAAAGGTTCAGTTCGTTGGCTCTTTCTATTGAATACAACTAAATAATATACATTTATATATATATATATATTTATATATTCTCTACACAGAAGGAAAAACAGAAACTTTAACACATCTTTGCTGAAAATGCCTGAAAGGAATTTTTTTAAAGCAATGAAAAAAAGAGTTTGATCGCTGTTTACTCTTAGACTATATGAACTTTGTTGCTGACTCGGCAGACATAGGCCTACATAAAACACGGAAGACATGGTCTAGTTTTTGAAGCGCATGTCTGGAGCTGCATATAAAAAAATATGGCAGCTCAAAAATAGAAACCGTATAGGTAGACTTCAGTATGGAGTTTGGAGTTTTATGCAACATACGCTTAACATCTAAAAATAAATGTATTTTTAATGTTTTTCTTTGTCTTTGCATGG